CCGCGCAGTAGAGACGCCGGAAGAGAGGGGGGCACCCAGGACGGGCGGGCTCACGACGCGCGCGTGGGAAGCCCTTCGCGCGCGGGATTCGACGCCGAAGGCCGGCCCGACGCCGGAGGCCGCAGGCCCGCGCCCGCCGCCCCGCCGGCGCCGGCCAGCCGGCGCGCGCAGCGAGGGCGAAGCGGCGGGCGCGCTCCCGCGGCCTACCCGGACTTTCCCAGCGCCGGTTCAGAAGGCAGCGGGAGACGCTTCTTCCACCACTGCGCAGACGCGCTGGCCCTCGCTTGCGCAGCGGCGAAGATGCGTCGGAGCTCGGCGCCGCGCGGTTCCCCCGGCCACCTCCGCGCCCGACTGGCCGGTCGAGCGGCGTCCAAAGCCTGTGGCGCTAGCTGGATCGAACCTGAGCTCAACCTTGCGCGGGCTGGCGGCAGCGGGCCACTTCAAGCGTACCTCGTGGTCCCCGCGGAGCCTCTATATGTGCAGTCTCGCTGCTGGTGGCGGGCTGCCTGCCTGCCAAGCACACCAGCTCTGAGTTGGAGGTCGAACCTGTACCATGATCATCATCGTCCTCATCACCATCATCATCGTCATCCTTATCAGCATCAACAACATCATCAGCATCAGCATCACCATCATCGTCATCATCATCGTCCACATCCCCATCCTCATCCTCTCATCACCAGCATCAACATCATCATCACCAACACCACCACCATCATCGTCCTCATTACCATCTCTCCTTACGTGTACTTCCCCTTCCCCCTGGCCAACACATTAGATATATACATATATATATGTATATATATATGGATATATATATATATATATACATATATATATATGTATATATATACATATAGGTCGATCCATAGATACATATATATATGTACATACATAACTGTATCTATTCCTCTTCCTATATTTTTACGTAGCCGGGCGGGGGGAACCCCCCACACACACACACACACACACACACACACACACACACACACACACACACACACACACACACACACACACACACACACACACACACACACACACACACACACACACACACACACACCACACACACACACACACACACACACACACACACACACACACACACACACACACACACACACGCACACACACACACACACACACACAACAAAAAAAACGGGGTCCCGGGATCTGGGGATTTGGGACCCTCCGGACGGGCCTCGAAGCGGCCCCCCGGGCCTCGCAGGGCGTTTTGCCAGGCTTTCCCAGCACACCTAGTGCGATCGGGGGGGTCAGGGGTCATCGGAGATGCCCCAGAGACCCCCAAGACAGCACAAGAGCGCTCCAAGAGTGACCGACGTGACCTCAAGACGACCCCCAAGAAGCCGTCATACCCCCAAAGATCGTCCCGAAACGTCCCAAGAGGCCTCCAAGAGCACTCCCAAGAAGGCCCCAAGAGGCAAAAATCATTGATTTTCCGTTCGTTTTTGGTGAATTTGGGGGTTCTCCTCTTTTCGGCTTCCCGACGCTCCAAGACGGCGGTCTTATGAGCGTCCGAAGCCGCCTGGGAGGCTCCCAAATCGCCCCATAGCCATCCCAAAGGGCTTCCAGGCAGTCCAAGAGAACCTCAAAACGGCACAACGGAGGTTCAAGATGGCCCTCAGAGAGCCCCATGGCGGCCCAAGATGGCCCTAAGACACCCGAAGCATTCCAAATCGTGACCCGGTCGTTCAGGGAGACCGCGGTTAGAGGCAGGGCGGCCCGAGGAAGCCCCCAGAGGCCCCCAGAACACGCCCAGGAGGCCTCCAGAAGGCTTTAAGAAAGCCTGAAATAACTTTTGTGAGGCCCCCAGAGGCTCTCCACGGAGGAGCCTCCGCAAAAGGAGCTGAGGAGGATGGGGAGAATGCACAGGGTATGGCGAAAATGAGGAAACAGAAGCATGGAGGAAGGATAACGAATCACATTATTATAGCGGCGATGCCGGCAAAGGCAACAAGGAGTTATCGCTAAATTGTCGGCTTGACCTTCCTGCTATTCCGCCTGCACGCCAAACTTCAAGGACCAAGGTGCATGGCGCGAAGCGCCACCGCAGTCTTGTGTGTATGTATATATAAATATACATATATCGGTGATGGACAGACCCCCCCCCCTTTAGTAAAACGTGGTTTAGTGACAACGACCTGAGGCCCAAACCTGGCGGGCGCAAGCCTGGAAAACAACGGCCACGGCGCACTCTCGAGAACCGAGCACGGACGATTCACGAATCGACGTGTCACTCTTGGGGCTCCTGTCCACCCCCGAAAATATAGCTGTACACTTATACATACATATATACATGTATGTATGTATGTATATATGTATGTATGTATGTATGTATGTATGTATGTATGTATGTATGTATATATATATATATATATATACATATGCATCGTCACCTCTACTCTTAATACACATGCTGTGCACATATATATATATATATATATATATATATATATTGCGCAGATACTCATAATATGACTACTACTCCCCTCTCCCCCTCTCGAGAGGGCCCGAGCGCCGCGCGCCCCCCCCATCGGCGCACTGCTTACCTCTCTCTCCACACGGACGGTGCGCCCGAGCCGCCCTGCGACAAACGGTGGCCCCGCTGCAGCGGAGGCCGCTCTCGAGGAGCTCTGCTCCCGCCGTGGAGGACGGCGCTCTCGCGCCGGCCGCGGGGGGGCCGCTTTCCTGGACCCGAACCCTTCGTCATCGATGGCGTCCCCTCCTTCCCCCCCCCCCCTCCAAAACTCGACAGGCTAGTTGCCTCAACGAGCAAGCAATCCAAAAATCCCTCCCCCCTCCGCCTCCCCCTGGTCCTCCTGCTGCTCCGCCCGCTCCCTCCGCTCCGGTTCCGGCTGCTGCTGCTCGTCCTCGTCCTCCTCCTTCCTCCTCCTCCTCCTCCTCCTCCTCCTCCTCGTCCTCCTCCTCCTCATGTTCCTCCTCCTCCTCCTCCTCGTCCTCCTCCTCCTCCTCCTGTTCCTCCTCCTCCTCCTCCTCCTCCTTCTCCGCGTCCTCTTTCCTCCTACTCATCCGTCACCTCCTCTCCCTAGCGCAGCTCCCTTTTTCCGATTGCGCATGGCATGACGGGTTTTTTCTAGAGTTCCAGGTCCGGAATGACACGCGTCCGCGGATAGAAGAACATCAGAGCAATGGGAAGGGATTGGTTGGAGGGGTAGGATGTGAAATAGTCGAACATGGAACGAGAAAGCTCTCTCCTCTCTCCCCCGGAGATGTGCTGAGAGTCGTGCGCGCCCCTGCGCGTCCTGTTATTGTTGCACCGGGTGGGCCCGAGCTATACCTCTCACGTGCTTGTCCAGTCCTCTCCCATGGTGCTCCCGCTGCAGCGTGGGTCCCACGTCGTGAACGGCGCTCTCGTTTCAGCGCGGGCTGCTTTCTGGAACTCGTTGTCGCCCCCCCTCTTTTCGCCTACTCCGTGTTCCCCTGGCCCTCCAGCTCGTCCCGCTCCTTCCACTCCAGTTCCTGCTGCTCCTGTTCGTCTTCGTCCTCCTCATTCCTCCTCCTCCTCCTCCTCCTCCTCGTCCTCCCTTCCCCCTCCGCCCCCCCCCCTCCTCCACTCCGAGACATGCGACGCTTTGATGCTTCTAATGCGGGGTTCCCGAAGTCCTGGCCCCTTCCCAAGAACCCGCGTTTCATCCTGAGTTGTCTCTTGACGGCCCATGGGGCCCGGCGCAGGCCCCAGGTGGCCGAAAATGGGTAACAAACATCGCCCGTCGTGATTTTCCCACGGAGCAGGCAATGCGGGGACCTCTCCCCCCTCCCCACTCCTCGAGAGCCGACGTCGCCGACAAAAATCACGAGTGGAGCCGCAGACTCTACACTTCTGCGCCCCCCTTCTTCGAACCAGTCGATCTGTGATGGCCCCGGGCCCCGAGAACGGGCGGAAACACCCAGTGTGAAAAATCTGCAACGCCAAGATCTCAGGGCTGCCCCTCCTCCCCAGACCCCCGACGTCGTGATTTTTCACAACGTCGACCCCCAGAGGTCTCGACCCCTTCCCCGAGACCCGGCATTCATCCCGAATCTTCTTTTGACGGTCCCAGGGCCTGGCGGGGGCCCCTGGAGGCCGAAAAGAATGAAGAGCCGAAAAACCTCCCGTCGTGTTTTTTTCACAGCGCGAGAGGGTCCGGGAACGTCAGGATCTCAGGGCTGTGCCTCCTCCTGGGAGGCGCCCTTCCTTGAGCAGGGACCGACCGTCCCGGCATTCCTATAGTCCTACCACGACATGTTCTTAGAACCCAAAAATGTTCTAAGAACAAAGACAATGTCCTTAGAACATGAACCCGATGCGCTAAAACAAGACAAACTCCGCCAGAAATGTTCTAAGAACACTTCGTGGAAACCGCAAAAGGTTCTTAGAACATTGTTTGGTGGGGCTAATAGGGGCGGCCAAGAGGGGGGTGTCCAAGAGGGGGGGGTGCAAGTCATGACCGGCGGCATGTGCGCGGCCCAGCCGGGGGGGCGAGGGACGTAATGAAACAAGACGAGGCGCCATGAAACCTGTGGAAATATCATGTCCCCCGCCATGATATCCACCCCCCCCTAGTCATCACCCCCCTCTTTGCCGCCCTCGACTCAGGGCTGTGCCTCCTCCTGTCAGGGGGACGTAAGACCTGGGTACAAGGGACTCGGAAATCCTCGACGAGGTCGTCAAAAAAATGACGAGGCCGAGCCTGCATTTTGACGAGGCCTCCCGCTGCAGACATCCCACGAACCTCCTCCTCGTCAGGGTCCGAGGCGCGGTCGTCAAAAAACGGTGGCGAACCCGAGACCTGGCAAACCCGGGTCTTACGCTCCCCCGACCAAGGTGTCCCCTCCTTTGTTTGTTGTTCTTTTCCCTTTTTGTTGGTGGTGGAGGGAGGAGAAGGAGCGGACACCACCAAGCCATAGCCCCACCAAGGAGGAGGAGGAGGAGGAGGAGGAGGAGAAGGAGGCGCCCTTCCAAGCCCCTGGAAGTCCGACTCCAATGGCCCCTGAGCGCAGGCCTGCCCCATCGCCGGCGCGGCCCCCTGGCCGCCGGGACCCCCGGGCAGGACGCGGGGGATGGGGGGGGCTGCGGGGGCCTCCTCCTCCTCCTCCTCCTCCCTCCTCCTCTTCCTCCTCCTCCTCCTCCTCCTCCTCCTCCTCCTCCTCCTCCTCCTCCTCCTCCTCCTCCTCCTCCTGCTCCTCCTCCTCCTCCTCCTCCTCCTCCTCCTCCTCCTCCAAGTCTGGGTCTCGTTCTCTCACCTCTGCCTTCATTCTGAACAGGGACCCCACCTTTTATGATCCAATGGCTCCCATTTTACGTTGCGCTAAGGAACACTGGGCCTTGCGACTCAGAAGTTACCCCTTTCATCTTTTCCTGGACCGAAATGCGTGAGTCTTGGGCTTCTGTTGTCCTAGTCTCGGAGCCCGATTCTTGGAACAAATCGCACGACCCATTTCGGCCACGAAGCTGAGCTTGTCAAGGATCGGTTGGAGTATGCCCTCGCTCGACCTGGTCGTGGACCAGCACATGAATGAGCTGCCGCTCACGGTGATTTCGCCTGCGCTGCTGACGCGGCACCTGAGGCTAGCTATTCAGTGTGTCCATGAGTGCCGGTCGGCGGTGCGGCTTCTTCCATACCTCACTCAACCTGCTCGTGTTTGTAATGACCAAGTTAGGGTTATGTTGCATAAGAAGGAATACGCATCATACATGAAGGGATGCATACGTGCTGTATGTTGTAATGCCATTTGGACACGGCAGCGAGCGAGGCAAGCGGGTTACGCCTTGCCCGACATTATGCCAAGAGGCTGACGACACTGTGCTGCATCGATTGTGGTTCTGCCCAGCCGTCGAGGCTAAGCGGGTGGAAACTCTTGGCAAGCATTCGAAGATAAGACCGCCGTCGGACCTCACGCCTACATCGGACCCGTCTGAGTTCATGTTGTTCACGAGGGGTCTGAACGAGCACCCCGCTGATTACCACCCAAGGCCTGCTACTACTGTTAATGGTGCTCCCAGTGGAGTGCAGACTGCTTGGGCTCAGGATCCCCAGTCAGATGACACGACCTTGGATGGGCACATCTTCGTGGACGGATCGTGTACTAGAGTTATGTTGCTCCCGCCCTACTTAGGGACCACATCCCAGAAATAATTTCGAGCACCCAGACGAGTGTCGAAAGAGTGTCGAAACAGTGTCGAAAGAGTGTCTCCCAGGGCCCGACACGTGAAAATCCTCGACTTTGGGGGTGTTTTCCTGGTGCTCGAAATTCATTCTGGTGATCAAGGCTATAAAGTAGGCTGGAACATCATAGTACTAGAGAGGCTTCCCCAGAGCTCTCCGGGGCAGGCTGGGCTGTTACTCTCGTGGACCCCCCTGGCACTCGCCTGGCCAGCATTTCTGGGCCCCCCGTGGGCTCTGGGCCCCTCATGGGCTGTTTCACTCGGACCCCGCAGGCGGCGGAGTTTGCGGCCTACACGATTGCGGCCCAGTGTAGAACCTCGGGCTCCCCGATATTTTCTGATTGTTCAAACGTGGTGCGCCAAGCTTTGGAGCCCTTGTCTTCCAAGACCTCCGATCCTCGCCCGTACACGTCGGTCGGAAAGAGTAGGTAAAAACATGAAGCAGGAAGGCGGCTTAAGTGGATCGGGTCCAGGCCCTCCCAGAGAACAACAAAACACAGCAACAGCATGTCGATTCTTGAAGTAGGAAGGCGCTTGAAGTAGATTGGGATCTGGGAATCCACAAATACCTACTTTCAACGAGGAGGAGGCGTAGCAAGGGTTCGTATGGTAGAACACCTTAATCTCAGGTCGGGCAGGTCCTCCTACAGGCGGAGCTTGGGCGAAATCTGCAGAAATACGGGGGGAGGCCGCGCTCTCCGCGGACGCCCCTCCCCCTCCTCCTCCTCCTCCTCCTCCTCCTCCTCCTCCTCCTCCTCCTCCTGCTCCTCCTCCGCCTCCTCCTCCTCCTCCTCCTCCTCCTCCTCCTCCTCCCTTTTCAGCGACCCGCGTGTACAATTTTTCCGACTGCCTCCACGTGGTGCGCCCGAGCTCTGGAGCCCTCGTCTCTCCCAAGACCCCCGGCCGTCGCCCGGTGTGCTGGACGCGTGCTCCGGACGCTGGGCCCTCGGCTCCCGGGGATGCGTTCCAAGTGCAGAGGGCACCAAAAACAAGGGCGCCTAACTTCGCGCTTCGCGCTGCGCGAAGCGCAGAGCGCTCTCGCGCCGCCCCCCCAGGGGAGAAGAGGAGGATGAGGAGGAATCTGAGCCGAACCGCGAGGATGAGAAGAGGAGGATGAGGAGGAATCTGGGGATGCGTTCAAGTGCAGAGGACACCAAAAAGACCGACGGGATCTCTCTGAAGAAGAGATCTTTTCAGATAGTGGTACACGTCGGTCAAAAGAAATAGGTAAACACATCAAGTAGGAACGCTGGCCCTCGGCTCTCGGGGATGCGTTCAAAGTGCAGAGGGCACCAACAACAAGGGCGCCTAACTTCGCGCTTCGCGCTGCGCGAAGCGCAAAGCGCGAGTAACTTCGCGCCCTCGCGCCGCCCCCCAAGGAAGAAGAGGAGGATGAGGAGGAATCTGAGCCGAACCGCGAAGCGCGAATAACTTCGCGCCCACGAGGGCGCCCTTGAAAAAGACCGACGTGATCTTTCTGAAGAAGAGATCTTTTTAAATAGTGGCACACGTCGGTCGGAAGAAGTAGGTAAAAACATCAAGTAGGAAGGCGGGTAAAGTGGATTGGGTCCAGGCCCTCCCAGAGAACAACCAAACACAGCAAAAGCATGCCGATTCTTGAAGTAGGAAGGCGCTTGAAGTAGATTGGGACCTGGAAATCCAAAACTACCTACTTTCAACGACCGGCGTGTAATGATCTAACATATTGATTTGGCAACCCGCTAGGCAGTTTCCCGTCACCCTCAGCCTTCCAGCTCTGAGTTGGAGCGGAGGCTGCGGGCTGAGCTCATATCGTGGCTAGTGTGCCAGGTTTCTGCATATGTCATGGTGCTTTTTCCGCATCTAGACCTGGCAGATATTTCCAGAATCAAGCCCACTCCGATCCCCAAGCCTACCCCTGGGCCTGATCATGACTGGTACTGGGAAGGGAGATTTGGGTTGTGTGCTGCCTGTTGGCGTTCCTCTCGTGCTGTTGCTCAGCCGGGCAAGAGTGTTTGTAGAAGGGGCACCTGATCTCAAAAGACTCACGGGGGCTTCTCTTCAGGCCAACATGCATAAGCCCCTTGTGCTTGACTACTGTGATGGGGACGGCATTCCCTTAGTTTGCAGGCCCTGTGCGTATTCTACTCGTGGTGGCCAGTTTCGCGGCTTGGCTAGAAGGCGTGTTGGTCCACCCACCAAGGCCAAGAGCGGCCACGGCCGCTGCCACACTGGGAGGCAGACTTGCTTGGGGCGCCACCCCAAGCCTGGCGCAGAGCTGGTGGAGGGTGCCCCACTTGTTAGGAGGCAACTGCTGGGAGGTTTTCGTCGGAAAGATTAAGGAGGATCAAGCCCCATTTGGGGGCTATTACGCCGGAATGGGCCTCGGAGTAAGCGGGATTAAACCGGATTAAGCGGGATTAAGCCAGATTAAGCGGGATTAAGCGGGATTAAGCCGGATTTCGGACCAGGGCAAGATCAGAATTTGACCTCCCAGGAGTTGCATCCGAACACTTGATGATGATGGGGGCAACGGTGGCCCTTTGACGGCGCGGGGAGGGGGCTGTGCCGGGGCTGCCCCGAGCCAGCCCTCTCGTGCGGCCAGCGCCCCGAGCCGACCTGAGGCCGCCGAGGTCGGCTCGAGAGCCGCTTCCCTGATCGCTTCTCACGAGGAGGAGGAGGAGGAGGAGGAGGAGGAGGAGGAGGAGGAGGAGGCGGAGGAGGAGGAGGAGGAGGAGGGGCGGAGGAGGAGGTTGCAGCAAGGCCTCGTGCCTTCTCCAGCTCATTCCGTCCAGGGGAGGAGCGCGCCACTGCAGGCCAGTCAGCCACTCGAGCTGATGCTGGCCCGACAGACGCTCTCCCCAGCATGCGGGGCCAGGCGGCAACGGCAGGGCCTTCCGCCTCCCCCAGTCCTGCTGGTCATGCGGCGCCGATGCGCGACACGGTGGCCTTCTGGCATGGATTTGTTGGACGCCCGAGATGGGTACGGAAAAAATGGGCACAATGCCCAACAGCAAGTATTGTCCCAAACCAACAGCGGCCGCTGTTGGGCAGGCGGCCCTCTGTCTCGAATGGACACAGGCCGCGGCGGCGTGGACAGCGAATCCTGGTCACAAGGAACAGGAACTGCTGTTGGGCATTGTTCCCATTCTTTCCGTACCCATTTCGGGCGTCCAGAGGATTGGACGCCCGATCTTCACGTTCCTTGTCGGCGGATCTCTCCGATGACTCTGCCTGGTCGTCCCTCCTTTTTTTCCTCCGGCCGCCCCAGGGTCGTGCTGCTCGCGTGTCCGTCCTGGCGGGGATGGCTCGTCAGCCGTCCCTGGTGGCTTGACGTGTCTGCGACACGCCCGGGGGAGCGTCGTCGGCCTGATGAGTGTGTGTGTGTGTGTGTGTGTGTGTGTGTTTTCTCGCTTCCTCCTCCTCCTCCGCCGACTCCTCCTCCTCCTTCTCCTCCTCCTCCTCCTCCTCCTCCTCCTCCTCCTCCTCCTCCCCCTCCTCCGCCTCATCCTTCCTGTGCCTCCTCGTCCTCGTCCCTCTGCATCCTCCTCCTCCGCCTCCTCCTTCTCCTCCTGCCTACTCTTTCTCCCTCCTTCTTCCTCCTCCTTTTCCTCCTTCTCCTTCTTCTCCTTCTGCTGCTCCTCCTCCTCCTCCGCCTCCTCCTTCTGCCTCCTTCTCCTTCCGCCTCCTCCTCCTCCTCCTGCTGTTCCCTCTGCCCACTCCTCCTCCTCCTCCTCCTCCTCCTTCTTATTATTATCCTTGTTGCCCCCTCATTCTGCCCCCAATCCCTTCTCCACATAAACACACAACTCCTCCCTGTCGCACCCCGAGGCCGGTTGAAAGGGCGGGCCGGGCGTTTCGCCTCAGACTTCCTCGCGATCT